AATTGCGTACCTCATTGTGCTCCTCGCTTATGTGAGCCTCCCGTATCTCGATGTCTCGGCCGTAACACGTGCACCTTGCTTGAGATGCCGACGCATCTTCAACTAACGGTCACACCGACGGCGGTGTTGAAAGCGAGAAACGAGGAATCGGGAAGCAATGGAATCGGGAAGCAACACGAACTTGTTGAAGATTACGATCCAGTGACGACGCTAAGGGGTGACGCAAAGACGACGAGATCAAAGATCGGGGATAACCGATCCTGTTAAGGATCGGGTACAACCATGTCCCGCTCGTTGCCAGGCTGGGTCATTAACTATAGAGACTCCCACATTCGGCGTGTGCCACACTTTTGTATATATAACGAGCAGGGAGCGCTAGGCTCTCTCCATGTTCATCCAGTCAATTTAGTATAAGTTTCTGCCTTAAAAGAGTAGTGACATCATACTTAGACTATCCCCGATCACCAGTATGGGGACCCAAACGACGTCAACTTTCAACAGAACTTTGGTGCCTGGCTTTCAGACAACTCTTTCCTTCTCAGACAGCGCCCCGAAAGGTCAAGACGGTTGCTGGAACGAGAGGGAAAGAACAGGTCCTTTTGGGCGAAATTATTCAACTTGAAATTTCAACTTTGAACTCTTCTGAAAACAGCAGAGTAAGAGGACGGTCCAGATTCAGGGCAAGGCCAGTCAAGCTGGCAGCGGCACTGAAGCGCTTAGGCAGGGCAATGACAGTAAAGCTGCAAGCCTCTGATGGGAACAAAGGTGAGCGTGGGAAATGGCTGAGCTTGGGAAATGGCTGAGCTGCATGCACATTTTGCTTGCTTTGCTTGCTTTGCTTGCTTTGCTTGCTTTGCTTGCTTTGCTTGCTTTGCTTGCTTTGCTTGCTTTGCTTGCTTTGCTTGCTTTGCTTGCTTTGCTTGCTTTGCTTGCTTTGCTTGCTTTGCTTGCTTTGCTTGCTTTGCTTGCTTTGCTTGCTTTGCTTGCTTTGCTTGCTTTGCTTGCTTTGCTTGCTTTGCTTGCTTTGCTTGCTTTGCTTGCTTTGCTTGCTTTGCTTGCTTTGCTTGCTTTGCTTGCTTTGCTTGCTTTGCTTGCTTTGCTTGCTTTGCTTGCTTTGCTTGCTTTGCTTGCTTTGCTTGCTTTGCTTGCTTTGCTTGCTTTGCTTGCTTTGCTTGCTTTGCTTGCTTTGCTTGCTTTGCTTCCATGCCTCCCGTGGCAGGAGAGCAGCAGCAGCAGAACAACAGCGTAATTTCCAACTAAACGTGAAAGGGTCCTTTGCGTTCCCACGCTGCAATCACCTCCTTTCTTCACCAAAGCCGGATAGAGTTAATTGAAGATAACAATTAATATACGGCGTTATCGGGGTCACGATCAGACTCCCTTTGCCACAGCCGTATGTTCTATGTAATGCTTGGTTTTCTTGGTGTGAGACTAAATGACAAACACATATATATACTCCATTCACTGCTCTGATCCCATCCGAGGCAGGGTGTGTTCCTTCATTTGTACCCCCTGTGTTGCTATGATACCGGGTGCCACTGTGCTGTCACCATGACAACAATTGCGTACCTCATTGTGCTCCTCGCTTATGTGAGCCTCCCGTATCTCGATGTCTCGGCCGTAACACGTGCACCTTGCTTGAGATGCCGACGCATCTTCAACTGAGTTACTCTCCAGAAGAGATCCTCGCTCCAGCGCCGGTCAATCGAGTCGCTGAAAAAGGCAAACTAGTCTTGCACGCTCTACGGCAAATCCGACTACGATCCAGTCCGATCTAAAGGATGACGTAGATCAGATCTGCAAGAGATCCGACAAGGCAGATCTCATCGGGTATCCGGTAGGACAGAACTGATCGGGATCAGGCAAGTCCGATACAAGAGAGGAATCGCGTAACAGTCGTCAAGAACGGTTTGCTTCTCTCCAACTCCACCGTAACCCTGGCGGAAATCGATCTACAACAATGTTGTCGCTGTCCTACATTTCTCGCTTCCGCCTGTGCGAAGCTCTGCCTGCCCATTTTTCCTTTCGTCGAGTAGTATTGAGATCGGCATACTGACTCTCAATTGCCCTTGCTGCCTTCTCATCTTGAAAGAATCTTTATGTCAAGCTTGTACCACTCAACACAGTCTAATGCGTCGACTGTATGTCGCTCTGTATGAATATTCACACGAGACCGGCTAGTTGAAATCGCATGCATGAGGAATGTGATGCATTGCATTCAAGACAGTCGACGACAGTCAGCGGTGAATGGGGATGGGTGGTAGTTCTCATTAGCTGTTGAGACGCACTGCAAACGAATGAAATTCGAATCAAAAGATATCAAATGGGGGTGGAGAATATTCGAAGCACAAGTAGCCGACGCAAGGAGCCTACGCTCAGACACGGATTCGAGCCAATTCTTCCATAGACACCTCGCCCTCTCGATTTAACCTGAAGCCGAGAAGCCCTTTTTCAGGTGGCCCAGAAGCTTTGAGGTAGTTGTTATTGTTGAGATGATTGCGCAGTACGGCGAGCTCTGAGTTTTCCAGATCGAAAATCCTGTCGCTCCTTTGTACCTTTCTCCATGAAGGCTCGCTATAAGATGACCATCTTTTCACTGTTCGTTTGTCGAACGGACGCCCGTGCATAAGGTGCCGAGCTTTCTCACCATAAATTAATCCGATTCTTTTCGCGTGATCAAAATGCCGACCAACATTTTCATGAGTGTCCCTACTTTTTTGCAACCTTCCATCTTCGTCTATAGACAGCCGTCCGTACGAGTTATCTGTTCGACCTTGAGTTGTACCAAAAAGCCAGACCTTTTTGTAGCTTACCAGAGCGTTCTTCACTGTGCCTGCAGGAACTTTACTTACATCAAGCACCGGCACGCCCTGATAATGAGTATGAGTGCCGAAATGCTCATCCAAAGCATCCCTTGTCAGGGGTTGCCTTTCTTTTTCGAGCTCGAAATAGGGACCAATGTAATACATATATTCCCTGATTTTAGAATCCCTTCCAGCTCGAGGTCCAGAGCTAGAAGAAGCACTGTCCATCGGCCTTGCATGGCAAAGTAGGGCTGGGAGAAGCAATAGGACGAGTGCTGATAGCAGCACCATCCATTGCTGAAAGGTTTGACGCATTGCCAGCATTACTCGAGAGGTCGAAGTGGCAAGGAGAGGTCGAAGTGGCAAGGAGAGGTCGAAGTGGCAAGGAGAGGTCGAAGTGGCAAGGAGAGGTCGATGAGGGAGAGACCCGAATGAGACAGGGATACGCGGGTCTTCTTATACCTTCTCAGCCCTCCTTCCAGGAGGACAAAATTTTGCTGTTACATGGCCACGTGTGGCGATAGCTCTCTCACGTCTTTGCGTTGTGTTGCGCATCTCGGTCAGCCACTTCCTCAGAGCCTTCATTTTCCCTCTTTGTCTGAGATCGAACTTCAGCAACATTGCGTCGTGGTCCGTGGCACCGATTGATCTGGTGCAGGTGCGAACTTGAGTGGGTACAGTACATTTAGACATCAAGACATGAAGATGCGAACTTGAGTGGGTACAGTACATTTAGACATCAAGACATGAAGATGCGAACTTGAGTGGGTACAGTACATTTAGACACCAAGACATGAAGGTACGAAAGTGCTGTGAGGCAAAGTGCTAAAGCTATCGACAAAGAGAGTATGCCAGCAAACAATGCTTATTCCACCAGTACAATGTGGGTGTGTTGCCCTAGGAGATTCAACGTGCGGTTTAGGGCAACATCAGAAAAGCCCACCGCATCGACATTGTTAGGAGTAACTATCCTGACTGTGCATTCGTTATCGATTGGCAGACACCTTGGAGGTGAAGCTTGCTTTGCTGCTCGACCTCTTTCACTTGTTCGTGTCTTTTCATAACAGTCCGAGTCAAGAAGAAATGTAGCATTGATGCATAATGTGGGATTTCTACGCCACGAAGGAAGTCCTCATCTAGACTTTTGTCGTTCCTCTTTGCTGTTCTTGTTCTTTGCAAAACCTGCAAACTTGACCCTGAAGTTTCTCTGATCATTCGCTGCTGAAGGTTACGATCCAGCAAGACGCTAAAGTATGACATAGATCCGATTTGATAGGGAATCGGGCAGAACAGATCCGTTCGAGAAAGGGGCAAAGCCGATACAAGCGAGGGATCGGTTACAACTGTGTCCTACTCGTTGTCATACTTTGTCATTGAGGATGATGCTCCCACATGTGGGATGTGCCGACACTTTGTATATATATACCAAGCGGAGAGCTCGAGGCTCCCACCACATTCTTTTCCCAGGTCAATATAGTATAGTGTTTTTGCTCAATAGCTTCAACACTGTGCTTAGACCATCGTCGACCACTGAGTGTCGACACCCGTATTCTTTTATTATTCCAACATTCGCATGTCCCGCTGGCTGCAACCAATAATGAGGATATTTCACCCTGCCCAAGTTCATCCATAGCAGCACCCACACTTCCATGATGACACTGGAGAGTAGCACTACCGGCAGATACCTCCAACCCAACCTGACTACCGGAGGACTGGTTGCAGCCAACAGTGCCGTCACTCCACCAGGTGGATGTACGGTGTCGGTCAAGATCATGAGACACAGTGCTGTTCCTGTAGCAACGCCTCCAGCAACCCAAACCAGACTGTGTGAGTCATCTATCAAATCTGGGTTGTAGTGACGATTGAGTTGAAAGAGTTTGGTGATGCATACGGAGGTGAGGGCACAAATGAATTGGCCGCCGACGAATACTTTGGGTTGACCAAGGGGCGATGCTGGAGCGCCGTAGAGGATGGCACTGGATGCACCGAAGAAGCCGATGATGATGGGTGTTGTCCATGGCGTGACTGGGTCATTTGAAGACATGGCAAATTGATCCCATCGAGAGAACGTGATCATGACGAAGCCGAGACCTAGCATGGCACCGATCCAAGCCCAGACAAGAGTTTCGATCTTGCGTGGCAACTTTTCCACCGGCTGCAAGAGCGCTCGGTTCTCAGTCGACTCCCTCCGGTAACCTAGGAAATGTGCGATGGGGTAAGGAATGCGAGAGAGACGAGGTACTGACTTCGGCTTCTGTTGCGATTCGACTTCTGTTGCGATTCGACGTCCTTCTCTTTGTTTTGAACTCCTTGATTGTTCGATGTCGGGATTTTGGTTTGGTGGGGCAACTTTTCGGGATCGATAGGAGCAGCAGCGGCTACGCCAGAATCTCCAGTCAGAGTGGTAGCAGTTCCTTCGGATCGCGAGGTCGAGTCTTCTTCTGCTGTCGAAGCCAGCTTCTTATTTGTACTATCGCGCTTTGATCGACCCCAAGTTGCGCGTCGATCACCTTCGGCCTCCTCGTCGTCGGTGAATACGAAACCATCATCTTCCTCCAAGCTTCCCCTTACTGTTCTCGACTCGCTTCTCCATCTGTGTGTTCCACCATTGTCGGCCGCGTTTTCGCCTTCGTAGATCTGGTAGACGCGTTGTCGGGGTCTACCGAGAAAGCTCGCGCGTGATGAGGATCGATTGTTATGCCTTGATAGTTGTTCTGCGTTGGAGCCAACGAAGCCAGCACGACCTCGGCAGCGCGGCCTTGTGAGGTGGTCGGGAGAGTGATCGTTGGGCTGCATCCTTTCCGACCTTGGTTTAGGTTGAGGATGTTTGTCTACGATTTGGGCTTCTCGGTGATGGTCCATAGTGGCACACTTGAAAAGTCACAGTCTATGCGCTCACTGTTGATGCGGCTGAAGTTTCATAGCATGAGAGTTGGCCTTGTTGGTGGTTGTGAGGAGCGCAACTAGCAAGGTAAGGACGCTGTAGGAAGCTACCGAGCCAGGAGAAGCTAGGCAAATCCACACTTTCGACATTACTCAGTTTGCTAGCCGAGCTAAGTGGAGTTGTACGTCTTGGGGAAGGGTTGTTGTCCTTGCAAACCCCGATGTGGTTCCTTTGTTCCATGCCTGCAGGTCTGATCCTTGTCCCAACACCGTCGCTGTTTCACGGCTATGATACACCTCAAGGCCGCTTCTATCCGACAAAGGCAGAGCAGTTCTGGAGCTGATTGGCGACGATTCGGGCTGTAGCAACATCAGCCGAACGTCTTTCCGGGCAGCTTCTACCATGCGATCGCTTGCTAAGAGATTTTGCACCTCTCCGCCACGCTGACCAGAGTGTTTTTCATGCTGACAACACCGAGGCTCGACTGCTAGCTCAAGCTGTGTATATCACAAGGCCGGACGTCAACCAAGACATGCGCTCTTGCGTTGCAGCCAGAAGATAGCATTCAAAAATTGTCCTGTCGCCTTTCATGCGCTGCTCTGAAACCAAAGGTTCCAACGAACGATATCTTCTCGAGTTCTTCCGAACCATGCACACCGAACCATCATATGTTTGCCAAGCCGACCGAGCATTGAGTTCAGCCGACGAATCGGATCTCAGCCTTGACGAACCTTTGTTATCACATGCTAGCCATCACTCAAAGGCTAGGACCCTTGGATCGAAGGCTGGATCGGGCTGATCGCCTCTTCAAAAGCACACCTGTTGCTGTCCAGTGATGCTTCCATTCTGTTGCTTCGATGCAGGAACACGTATGCTGCTTGATGCGTTCTACATAAGACTGCTCCTAGCCCCGATCTGCGTACTAGCCTCACCATCGGGGAAGTTGCCATCTCTGTCACCTGCAAAGGTTCTATAAATTCTCCGCAGTCTTTGCTGCTCTTCTAGCGGCACACTTGGACGGGTGCTCTTGATTGAAGTGACCAGATGAGCCTCTGTGACCAACGTTTTGCTTTTTTTCCCTTCCTTCTTTCCTTCCTCTTCCTCGTCTTCGTGTGCGACGCCATTGGGAACAGCAGAAGCGAGTTGCCAAGGCAGAGTCTTTCCCACCTTGTTCCCCGCCTTATGCTGCTGCTGCTGTTGAGATTGAGTATTCTTCAGCACAAGCTCTAGTTTTCTTACCAACGCCTGTCTCTCTGCTCCACTGAGAGTCTTCTTCCCCGCCGCCACACCACCTGCACCACCGCCACCGATGGTCGTAAACTTGATCGCACCATCAGCCCCAACACCATCCTTCTTCTCCTCTCCACCCTTCTCCTCCTGCGCAGCAGTAATACTCTCATGAATAGCCTCCAAATGCGCATTATACAGCAACGCCTGTAAATCCGCCCCTGAAAATCCATCCGTCCGATCCGCCCATTTCTCCAAATCCACCTCCTCACTCAATTTCACTTTCCTCGCAATCGCCCGCATGATATCCAACCTATCTCCTCTTCCCGGCATGTCACATAAAAGACTCTTGTCCAATCTTCCTGGTCTTAACAGCGCACTATCGATCAAATCGGGTCGACTTGTTGCAGCTAGAACATAGACTCCATCCAGTCCTTCCGCTCCGTCCATTTGGGTTAGCATCTGGTTGACAACTCGATCCGTTACACCCGTGCTGTCGTGTCCACGTTTGGGAGCGATCGAGTCGAATTCGTCAAAGAACAGAACGCAAGGTTTGGCTGCCTGTGCTCGGTCAAACAGATCGCGAACAGACTTTTCGGATGCGCCAATGTACTTGTTGAGGATCTCGGGTCCTTTGACGCTGATAAAGTTCAATCCGCATTCCTTTGCTACAGCTGAGGCGAGCAAGGTTTTACCGCACCCTGGATAGCCATATAACAAAAGACCTGATCGGAGGCGGAGTGGGCATGACGCAAAAATGGCGGCGTATTTGGTAGGCCACTCCAGCGTCTCTCGCAATACACGGCGGGTGTCGACTAGACCACCGATATCGGACCATGCAACGGTGGATTTTTCCAGTTTGACATCGCGGAGGGAAAGCGGAATGAATCCTTCTTGGGCTGCGGTAAAGTCGGACATCCTTATTGAAAGTTCTTCTGCGTCTGCGTTTACGACAGCGTTTGCTGTGCTTGAATCCTTGATGACACCATTCGCAACGCTTGCTTTTACGTTGCTCGAAGCCTCGTCGGAAGCAGCTCGAATAGCAGCTTGATGAGTCGCCCGTTCCACCAGATCCTTCAAATCCGTCGGTAAATATCCTTCGGTCTGAGTAGCCAACGTGACAAAGTTCAACTCTCTTTCCTCCCCTCCTACCCTCTCCATCTCCCCTCCAACCTGTTTTGATCTGGCACCCCTCACCTTCTTCTCCACTAAGAACCGCAAAATCTGCCTCCTCCCCTCTTTCCCGGGCGGCTTCAATTGCACAGTATCCAACCATAAATGACTACTATTCAACAATCCATGTACACTACTCCCTCCCTGCGCCGTTGCGATGACAAACACCCCGAAACTCTTCACACAGTCCCTCACCCTCGCTACAAATGCTTCCGCTAACTGCCTGCTCCTTTGGGAATCCACATGTTCCATCTCGGCCGGGATGATCCTATCGATGTTATCCAGTATCAGCAGCGAAGGAGCTTTCCAAGCCGCCTCATTGAGCCATTCTGAAAAGCGAGCGCGGAGGACAGGAACCCGTTCTTCAGAGAAGGGTGAACAGTCGTGGTAGGTGGTAGATAGACAGAGGTTGAAGTTGGAGGAGAGATCGGAGGCGAGTCGTTTGGTGATCGAGGTTTTGCCTGAACCTGGTCCGCCGGTGAGGAGGAGGGCTGAGGAGCCGGGATAAGGTTTAGAGGTGGAGGTGGTGGTGGAGGAGGAGGAGGAGGAGGAGGAGGAGGAGGAGAAGAAGAGGACACGGGAACGGAAGCATGCAGAGATAAATCCCTTTGTGGTAGTAAGAATTTGGTCTACGCCTGCGAGGTCGTTCTCTGCATCCTTGGCCGATGTGTCTGTTGAAGCTGTTCCCGCCGCCGTGGAGGGCTTTGCGGGTGCAGACTTGGAGAAGCGGCCGGGAGGGGGAGCACTGAACCGCACCAAATCGTAATCTTGAATCCCCAACTGCTCCCTCAACGCAGCTCCAACCAATACGTGCCTCTCTGGCCAGACGGCATCAGCGTACTTTCTGCTACCCGGGAGTTGATCTGCATTGACAAACCTCGCACTAGCCGTCGGTCTTGCAGGTGCAGCACCCTGAGCACTGTTGTCGTATCCGTTCGCTGTAGATGATCCACTCTTGTCTCTTTCAGCAGCAGCCAAATCAGACGCACTGTTGTTCGTGGGACAAGAAACCTTTGTCACTGAAAGCCTTCCATCCGGATAGACCTGCTGCAACTGGACATGACCCATGTTCGAGGTCGAAGGAACTGCAACCCCTGCAATCAACCGCGTGAGATCCAACCCTTCAGCAAATCGCTGCGGCAACACCCGCCAGAGGAGTTTCGGCAGAGTCTGCTTCAACGCCTGCAATTCGGCCTCTGTACCGACACCGTTAGCAGCAGGTTTGTTGGTAGGTTGCAAGGAATGTTGTTCCTGCGTCGAAGGATCGAATGCTTTCTTGCGCAGCCTCGGGGCAATGATCACCTCTGTATCGGTCGAAAGACGAACTGCGATCGCTGCTGCTGCTGCTGCCGCATCTCCGTCGTCGGTATCCGGCTCTGCAGCATCAAGACTTGCTGTACTCGGAGTGGTCGAATGAACCCTAAACTTGACCACCGTGTTCCCACCTCTGCCAACATGCACTGTGAGAAGCTGATTCGTAGTCGCAGCCCGCACTTGACCAAGCATATTCATCTCCACTTGTTCCGCATGGAGACTTAGAATCTCCCAGTCATCCGCTGACAGAGGTGTCACATCGATCTTGCTTGCAGTTGGTAGCGGTGGGGAGCGTAGCAGCCGCACTGAGCATGTCGCTCCGTCTGGAAGTGGTGGGGAGAACGAAGCTGCGAGAGAAGGGGAGATGTTGAGCACGTCCGTAGCTGATGCTCTTCCATTGGTCGCAGCCGCAGATGAGCCATTGAGCTGTTGGACAGAAAGCGGGGCTGCATTCATTCCAGACCATCCAGCGTAGTAGGGTAATGCTGAAGGTGAGGTGGGGGAAGGGTCGATCTCGACAACGAGTGATTGGGGCGGGACGGAGAGGTCGACCAAAGGTGCGTAGAGGCACATTGGGAGATGGACGAGGGATGACTTGAGCGTGGGATCATATTGGATACGGACGATGGTGGATTTCGCCGACCGGCTCTTGGATTTGGATGAGCGTGACATGCCACGAAGAGCGGGTTGTAGTTCGACCTGGTAGTTGCTGTCTTCAGCCTCGTTCCAAGTATGAATGAGTCGCCAGCAGGTTTGGTGTATGTACAACCACAACAGCGCCAGCTGAGTCTTAGAGCTTGGTCAACGGAGTGGGACGTCCGGAGGGATGATGGTGGAGAAAGAGGATCAAGGGTGCACACACACACACACGCTCTATTGCGGAAAACAAGGCCGACCGGAAAGCGATCCTCGTTCACAACCGCTTCATCTTGGAGCCGGTCAATTGTTTGGATTGTACGCCCTGCCATTCCTCACAACACTGCCCTTTCGTACTGCACAGAACGCTCGCTCGCTTTGATGTCTCTTTGTGTGAGGATCCAGTTGCTGCTGTGGACGGCAGCCGACTTTGCCGGGCGCATTTGAACCGGATGCAGTGCGAAAGGAAAGGTCGCCTTCTGGACTGTGAATGCCTTACTAGAGGATGTTAGGTTTTGCATATTTGCACAGCTGGATGTTGCTGCATCGCCCGATTGCACCACAGATCGAACAGCGTATCGGCTCAATTATTATTTTTTTTGGCTTGGCTTGGCCTTTTAGCATGGCCGAAAACACTGCGCAGTGGCGTCAGAATTAGCTTTGAGAAGATTGCAACTGCAGACGGCGATCCTCGCAACCGAAGCAAACACAGGTGTGTGTGTCTCGACGCTTCAGCCAAAAAAGCGAAGAACGGAAGGGTTTATTGCGTCGGCTTGCCATCGCTCAAACGACCTCTCCATCTTGCTCACCGTCCATCGTTATCCTCCACCCTCCTTCTCGTTCGTGATCGCATTCCTGTAGCATCGGCTGCTCTTCGGACGACCCTTCTTGCCTATCGCAATCTCGTTTGGAATTTCGGAACAGCACGACATCCTCGGTGGCTTCCACAGACTTTTGCACGCCCCACTTCATCTTGCTGTGCAACTCGTTCAGTGAACGCATCTCGGTCACCCTCGACACCTCTCCTCCTTACCACTCCACACATCGCTCATAATGGCCGCCGCAGGAGACGCCGCAGAGGTCAACATCCAGATCTGGAAGGTCAAAAAGCTCGTCAAGCAGCTCGATGCTGCTCGCGGTGCTGGTACTTCCATGATCTCTCTCATCCTTCCACCAAAATCTCAAATCTCCCAAGCATCCAGCATGTTGACACAAGAATACGGTACCGCCTCCAACATCAAGTCCCGTGTCAATCGTCTCTCCGTTCTTGCCGCCATCACATCCACGCAGCAGCGTCTCAAACTCTACAACCGAGTCCCCGATAACGGTCTCATAGTCTACTGCGGTACCATCCTGACAGACGAAGGCAAAGAAAAGAAAGTCAACTTCTCATTCGAACCTTTCAAGCCCATCAACACTTCGCTTTACCTCTGCGATAACAAATTCCACACTGAAGCACTCAGCGAGTTGCTCGAAGCCGATGCCAAATTCGGTTTCATCGTTATGGACGGTAACGGTTCCCTCTTTGGTACTCTTTCCGGAAACACCCGTACTGTTTTGCAAAAGCTTTCGGTGGATTTGCCAAAGAAGCACGGTCGTGGTGGTCAATCAGCCTTGCGTTTCGCTCGTCTTCGTGAGGAAGCTCGTCACAACTACGTCCGTAAAATCGCCGAACTCTCCACTCAACACTTTATCACCGATAACAAGTGTAACGTTGCTGGCTTGGTGTTAGCCGGTTCAGCCGATTTCAAGACCGAACTCAGTCAGTCGGATATGTTCGACTACCGACTTCAGCCTAAGATCGTTAAGATCGTCGATGTTAGTTATGGTGGAGAAAATGGATTTAACCAGGCAATCGAGTTGGCTGCGGAGACTTTGTCCAACGTCAAGTTTGTTCAGGAGAAGAAGTTGATTCAGAAGTACTTTGACGAGATTTCTATGGAGACTGGCAAGTACTGTTTCGGTCTGGATGACACTTTTAAAGCATTGGATTTGGGTGCGGTGGAGACCTTGATCGTTTGGGAGAACCTTGATGTCAATCGTTACCTTCTCAAGGATAGCGAGGGAAGCCAGCACATTTTGATGCTGACAAAGGAACAGGAGAAGGACAGGGCTCGATTTATGGACAGAGCTACGGGCGAGGCTATGGAACAGGTCGAGGAACCTATGCCACTCTTGGAATGGTTGGCAGAGAACTATAGGCAGTTCGGTGCCAACTTGGAGTTTGTCACGGATAGGTCGCAGGAGGGAATGCAGTTCTGTAAGGGTTTCGGTGGTATCGGCGGCATCTTGAGGTACAAGGTTGCGTTTGAGGATATGGCGGTGTTTGAGGATGAGGATGAGTTTATGAGTGATGATTCGGATGATTAAACGCCTTACTTGGCCGTTATCTTCATCCATCATTATCCAAAAAGCAGAGAGTCTCGAACGCTCGCAGCACCACTTGCTTTCATTGCGTATTGTATCTTTCACACTTTCTCTTCCATTCGGTGTCATTGACAATCTCATCACATTCCCATAAATCTTTGTTCTTTGTGTGAGCCTGACTGATTGCTGTTGATTGTGATTGCTGTTGATTTTGATTGCTGTTGATTTGGAGCTGTTGTTACACGTACACGCATACATCCCTCGTCTATCGGATCTCTTTGAAGGTCATGCTGATCTACCCCTCCTTGTTCAGCAGCTGGAACTTAGCCTGGACCCAATTTCTGTACATGGTCTTCAACTCTTTGCGATTGACGATACACCTTCGATCGATAGCTATCTGTGTTGTACCGAAATCATAATCCTTATTCTCCTCTTCTACCTCTTTCACCTCGACCTTTTCCACTACCTCCTTCACCTCCTCTTCTCCCTCTCCCCCGTCCTCGGCCGTCTTTGTTGTCGTGTTCTGCGGTTCCGCGTTAAAAATCTCGAACAGCTCTTCAGGCTGGAAGAAATATACCCTAGTGCCATCCCCTCTCAAGTAAAAATTATCTTGCAGCATCCGTCTCTTCTTGAACCTTAATTGGGGTAGATCGTACCTCCCATAATCTCTGAACAGAACCATTCCACCTGGTTTGAGCAAAGTACGGATGTTCTGTACCGCTTGTTGCCACTCCCTGGGGTGTAGGGCGGAGAAAACGAAGATCAGAACAACAATGTCTACGCTCCCTTCTTTTAACCCTTCTGGCAATTGCGTTGGCGACGAGAGATCCCATACAGAGGAAAGACAATAGGCGCCGGCTGGGGGGTCAGAGTAAAGAGGTTGAGAACGAACGACGCTCACCGCCTCACTACTGTAATCGCATGCATGAATGCTCAGTTTCGGGTTCTTGTTTATCTCCAGTAGCGGCAAGACCGTATTCCCCGCTCCACAACCAACCTCTAGCACTGTCTTCTCCCCCGCACCTTCCAAAGTAGCTTGGACGAGTTCGGGAAATTCGAGATGCAACCATTTCCTATCCTTAAAAAATCGATTCTCATGGGAGCTGTAGAAAGCGTTCCAGTATCCAGCAGGTTTTGAATGGAACTCCTCGGCTTCCTCGAGGGAGAGTTTGGTTTCGGCTTGTCGTGCAAGTGTTTCGGCTATCTGGGCGTAATGGGAGGGAGGTGGGGTGACGTGATCCCAGGCGTTGTGGGTGAAGATTGCGGCTGGGTCGGTGAGTAAGCGGGCGCCAAAGACTGGATCGGAGTCGGTGGGGTTGGCGGCGCGGGAGGCGAGGATGGCTTCTGCTTCAGCGGCGGTTTTCGGTCGGAGGGTTCGGGGAAGGGAGGTGATGATGGGGGCTGAGGAAGAGGTCTTCTTTTTCGATGATTCGGGGTTGGAGGTGCTGGATCTGTGCCAAGAGGAAACGAGAGAAAGTCAGAAGCTGTCGACGACACGGCAGTTTCATGGAGATGAGTAGGAGAATGCACACGCCTTTTAGACGAACAGTTTCTGGGTGACGTTGGAGAACCATTGCATGCACTTGAAAGCGGGAAAGAAAGGCCTATTCAAGAGCAATGCAAAGCCTCGTTCCTAACGCAGCGGGGGGTATATGTCCTCTTGATCCCGTCCTTGGAGTCATTCTTACCCTTGTCGTTGCTCCGCCTTTTCCTTCCCATTTACTTCAGCAACCGCTTTCATCACAATCGGCTCCAGCCCCTTCGGCATGGTCAACTTCAACGCTTCCTCCTTCCCAAGATTACTCAACTTTCTCCACGTCTTCTTGATAATATCCACAAACTTTTCTTCTTTGTAATCTCCATGTTCCCCTGCAAACACCTCCAACTCCTCTTGCAGGAACACCAACACCGCTGCGTCTTCCAAAAGCTGTGTTCCCATATCACCCGTGTCTTTTCCCGGGTTGAGTTCTGTCTTGCTGACCCACTTGTGCACCCAGTCGCTTCCCTCCACGCCAGCATTCAGGAGCAGCTGTTTCGCACGGTCGGCTTGGATCTTGTACAGGTCTCGACGCCATTTCAGGTATCCAGCTTTGCCCTCCGGGTAAGAGGTACGGGGGGTAAGGAATCGTTCGAGATGTTGACAGCGTGCAGCTAGGCGGAGAAGCTCGCTTGTGTAATAGACTGAGTCGACATCGGAGGAGGAGGAGACGGTGGAAGAGAAAGAGGTGAATTCAGGGGTGGAGAGACGGAGATCGATGAGGTGGGAAGCCCAGTGTTCCATACGGTCTGCGTAGGTTAATTCGTCGACTTTTTGCTTTGAGTCGGTGGGAGAGGGGGAGGCGGTGTTGCGGGATTCATAGGCTGGGTCTCTTTTGTGACATTCATCGATGGCTGCTCGGGCTGCTTGGAAGGGGGTGGACATGGTGTCGATGCTGGGCTGGATGGGATGGAGGAGGAGGGAAGGGGGCAGTTTTCGAAAAATGTGGTTGCAAATCGGCTCTCATTTTTTGGTGTCTTTGTTGGATCCTAACTCTCGACGTGCTCATCGAGTCCAAGCAACGATGCCTCTAGCAGTTAAGGCACCATGTCCCCAATCTGGCCATCAGCACGAACCGCTGGTTTTTCCAGTGGCATGAAGCGCTCAATCATCGAGATCTCTCAATGTGTCCAAGCAGCAGATCATAGTCACATAATAATTCAGCCAGACAAGGGTGCTAGCAATTCTGCAGTGGTATCAATTCAAGAAACCGTTTATATTGAGAACAATACCACCGACATCAACCAGGCCCGACCTTCGGTATATCATGATGCTCAGACAACGATCCAAGGTAGGCATTGAAAGCATCCACTTTCTCTTTATGCGACGTTCTTGCTTCCTTTGCAATGCGTTGTTGCATACGCTTCCTCCTGACTTGTTCGAATTTGCGTTCTGCTTCCGTCATCTTCCTACCACTGGGAGTTGTGCTGCTGCTTTCAGCCAGATCCTGTGGGTCCTTCTCTTCGGCTTCGTCAGCTTCGGGCGATTTCGCCTTTGTTTTCGACGAAGAGTGTGATGCGGAGGAGGTGGATGCGTGCTTGACTTCTTCTGAGAGGGAAGACTTGACTTTCTTCTTCCTATTGCGTGCGATCAGGCCGGGGATCACAGAAGAGAAGGAGGTAGAGTACAACATGAGGAGGGTGTTAGTTGGCGGGACATGGCAGAGTGCCTGGGCAAGGAAAGATGCTACCTACGTCTTCTTGTCCTTCTTTCCGTCATCGCCTTTAAGTTTGAGTGAGCCGCCTGGTTTGAAGGCATAAGCCGACGGCGACGACGACGACATGGTCGCGGTTCCCAGTTGGGCTGATCGGGACTCTGCACCGGAGCGAAAGTAAGTTGGTCAAACGAACTAGATGGTAGCCATGAGTGAAGGTGTGGACGAGGATTCAGAGCTCTCATATGCAAAATGGCTCATGCTCCACTTTTGACCGATTCCTCCACCCCGATTCATCTCGATATCGCCGATCCGCAGCGAACACGCGCGAGTTAGGAAGACCGCACGGACATCTTGAGCAAGACCAACGTGGAAGAATCCTTCCACCTCGGCAACTCGAACATCTTCTTCCACGCTTCAACCTCCAACCTTCTCCATCAAGTCCCCATCTCATCACCTATACAATCACCCCTCGCTGCGAGCTGCTTTCAAGATGAGAGCGAGCATCCTCACCCTCGCCAAGCTTGGCTTTTTACTCCTCATCTCTCTCTTCCTCTTCACCTCGCTCCTCTTCACCTCGCTCCCCTTAGCCTTCGCCCAGAAATCCAAAGACCAAAGTTCCCTCTTCTCCCGCATCCAATCTTCCTCATCCGGCTTCATCGACATCGACTCCAAAGAATTTGCCACCATCACCGCCCAACCTCGCGACTATGCCGTCTCTGCTCTCCTCACCACCACCACCGGCGGCATCAAGTGTCCCCCCTGTGTTGCTTTCCAACCTGAATTCGAAAAAGTTGCTTCACAATGGAATTCCGACAAGGCGGTCAAGTCGAAGCATGTCTTTGTCAAAGTCGAATTCTCCCGTGGTAAATCGACCTTTGCGCAGTTCCAGCTCCAACATGCTCCCGTGTTGTTGACTTTCCCAGCAACGAGTAAGAGGGAGCCGAATCCGAGACATGTTTCGTTTGATTTTAACGACCGAGGCTTTTCCGCTCCGGAAGTTGCGGATCACTTGAACAAGTTGCTGAAGATGAACTTTAAGTATAAGCAACCGCTGAATACGAAACTTATCACAGCTTCTATCACGGGGGTGATCACCCTAGCTGGGGCAGTCTTTTTCATCGGTCCACACCTCCCTTCGCTGTTCAAATCGAGCAAGCCAATTTGGATGTTGTTGTGTCTAGGATCAATGATTCTCTTCACTTCAGGTCACATGTGGAACTCAATCCGAGGAGCACCTTATGTTGCGATCGGTGCAGGGGGTAGACCGGAGTATTTCGCGGGCGGCTTTCAGAATCAGTATGGAGTGGAGACGCAGATTGTCGCTGCGATCTATAGCTTGTTGGCGTTTAGCTTCATCGCACTGACCGTACTAGTGCCGGCACAGAGAGATGCAACGAGACAGAGAGCAGGTGTGTATGTTTGGAGTGCGATCTTTCTGGGGACTTTCAGTCTGCTGTTTTATATCTTTAGGACTAAGAACCCTAGTTATCCCTTCAGACTTTTCTTCTGATCAAGGAGTCTCGACCTGTCGTCCTTGACGAACAGCATTCTTGTGTGATGTATTGTCGTCCGCATCACCTTCGTTCACGAAATAGACTCATTTCGACACGGACGATCTGTCTCACTGAAATACACTGCAGCGTTGAACCGGTGACTTCTATTGGACTGCAGCTTACGCAAACCCCAAAAGGTATTGAGTGTTGAATTCTCTATCGTCCAAAGACTTTCTTCTCCAACAACCGCAAAGGAACATAAACAACTACACTAGCCACCAATCCAGTCTCGAAACCCAAATCACCACCCCTCTTCGCAATAGGCCCAGTAAACCATACCTGGCTAATACTCGGTACTACCACCGCCAAACTCACACAGCAAGCTCCCAGGGCTGCCAAACCAGGAGGAAGCCTTTTCCACTGGTTCCAATCTCTTGCGTTATAACTTTGATAGTCTCTTTTCCTGATGACGACGTGGTCGGCGAAGACTACTCCGACGTATAGACTTGCCCAATAGCCGAGGACAGATGTGAAGTCGGTGAGCGTTTCGTAGAATTTAGAATGACCGACGATAGCAAGGGGAAGGAAAATTGCGGTTGCGAAGAGGGGCCAAATGAAGCGAGGGATTGGTCCGAGGAATGGGAGCATGGTTTGGAAATTGAGACCGATGGAGTAGATTGTTGCAGAGATGTTGCCGCATACGGATAGAGCGAGGAGGACGACGAGAAAGTTTCCGAAGTTGCCTAACTTATCGGCCAAGATGAGTTGGAACAACCGTCCACTGGAAACTCGTAGTGCACCAGACCAGGCGGCGTTGTCGTAGGAGCTGCAAGAGAAAGCGATACCAATCATGATAAACGGTACGCAAGAGAGGAAGAATCCAAAGTAGACACTCCAAAACAATTTATGCGGGTTGGTGTTGGGTTCGAGGTAGTGGGAGACGTCGGATACGAGGGCGGAATAGGAGATGATGAATCCGGCGATGATTGCTGCGAATCCGAGGATGGAGGAGGCTGAAGCGGTTGGTTGGTTCGATGCGACGTGTAAGCCTGATGGACCGGTGCCAGAGACTCCGATGAGGATGAGGAAGCAGATTAGGGTTGGGAGCCAGAAAAATCGTTCAAAGTAATGCAACACTCGGATGCCGGAGAATGAGACCACTAGAGCGATGCATGCTGCTACGACAATGCCTACGTCGGGGGTGAGGGTCGAACTTCCATCGCCTCTCGCACCGACCGCGGATAGCGTCTGACCTCCAACAATGGAATTCAGAATACAGTAGCCCAGCATAGTAGCAAGATTGAGAGCACAAATGACACTAGCGCCGAAATACCCAAAGCTGTAGCGCGCGTGAATCATCTGTCTCATCCCCAACTTCGGGCCAAACAAGGTGAAGTATGCTGGGAAGGTCGAACAGAATCCACCAACGAAAAGAGTGGTGAGCATGGCGGAGAGCATATCCATTTTGAGGAGGGATACGAGGCTTCCAGCAGAGAAAGAGAGGACGTTGACGTTGCATGAGAACCAAATGAGGGAGACGTTCCACCAGTTCCTACCGGTCTGTTCGGATGTGGTGAGGGGTCGGATACCAATGCATTCGACGTAGGTCGGGGGAAGTTTTGCGGCGAATGCGTCGAGACGACGAGTGAGGGCGGAGGAGTTGATGGTTCGTTTATAGTCCGAGACGATGGAGTCTGAGCTCTCGCCATCGTTCTTGATGTGTGCGGGGGAGGAGGAAGAGGGGGGTTGGTGCTCGAGGTCTAGCTTGGTAGCGGGTGGTGGCGACATGGTGTATGGCGGCACCTGGAGCTAATCAAGGGGTGGCGGATCAGGGAGGAGAGGGGCTCGTAACCGTGCTGACGACGGCGGGTACAAGTGACTGCTCAGTCTATATACCGAGTTGGATCGCCTCGAAGGAACGCTGTTGACGTTGTTGGTGGTGACAAAAGAAGAAGAACAACAAGCGATAGCAACGAATTCTTGACACATTGCCACGCAGCGGAACTCTCCGCTTGTGCAACTTTCAGGGTCTTCCTCCTCTCCTTCACTCGCACTTTCACCCAATCATTTCTCCTCTCCTCGACACACCCCAACCTCGTGGCAAATCTGCTTTTCCTCGGCGGCTCGAAGCAGTTTTGTTCGAGTGAGGGCGGAGTGAAGCGGCAAAGGAAGTTGATAAAAAGGGCAAGTTTCCATTCTTCCAAACCGCCGGTCCGGAGCAAGAAGGCACCTGCTTCTTTCCTGTTCTGAGCACGATCATTCTCTCAGTTCGGCTTGCACAGACCAGCCCCATGACATCTCTCAGCTTCGTAAAACATCGCACAGCTGCACACACAACTCTCGAAAGTGTGTGACACTCGAATCTGACATTACTTCGATCATGACAGCTCCTCCAGCCTCGCTCTCAATCCCTCAATGCGAGCCATAACGGAATCCAAATTACTCTCCACTCTCCCTCTAGTTTCTTCCATATTCTTCTCCATCTTTCCTAGCAGCTCTTCCAGCTCCTCTTGCTCCCTCAGTCTCGCTTCCTGGCTCTCTTCCAGTTCATCCAATGTGCTTCCGAAGTGTGCGGCAGTAGCATGCAGTTCCGCCAAAGTCTCTAGTCTTCCCAAAACACCCGGAATGATGGGTAGAAGCGGTTCGAGTCGCGTTGACACTTCGAATAGTTGTTGCAGCTTTTCTACTTCCCATTTGGCGAGAGTGGAAGAAGAGGTAGTGCGGTCTGACGGAGTAAGGTCGGCGAGCTTTCTGCGAGTGTCGTGCACACGATCCATCTCGGTTACTAGAACTTTGACTCGCCTGCTGATTGCATCGAGATGGCGTGGTTGGGACAGGAGCGAGAGTTGATGTTCGAGTCGAGACAGCGTGGAGAGGATGGGACGGGGAAGTGGATGAGAGTCGTCGAGAAGGGCTGAGGGGAGGCCTAGGCTTGACTCTAGTTCTGAAAGGCCGATTTCGAGGGCCACAATGTCTGCCGTGCTGCCACTAGCAGTAGCAGTAGGTGCGGTGGTGGGAGCTGAGGGTCCGGATGAGCTGGTTTGTGGCGGTTGCTTGACTTGCTGCAGTAGCCAACGCAGAGCATCTTTCTCGCTTGTTGTCGAGATGGAAGTGGCGGTAGATGGAGAGGCAAGATTCGCTAACTGATCTTGCAGAACTTTGAGCTGAGCAAGAACCTCGGCACTATCCACATTCTCCTTCAATCCTTCCTCTGCCCCTTTACCGGCAGAGGCACTGAGTTCCTCCTCCAGTTGACTTGCTTCGAACTTCAACCTTCTCAACCTGTCCACCGCTGACTCCTTCTCCCCTGTCCCAACTCGCGAGGATCCATGAATGACATACGTACTCGTCTCCAACCCTGCATCTCTTGCTCTCGTTTTCCGTGAACGCCTTTGCAATCGGCCTGAAAAATCTGCCTTCTCAGTAGGGACGTCTGTAGCACCGCTGAACTTTGCCGCAGCATCATTCCTCTTCAATGAGGTAGCATCGATGTCTTCGTTGACCTTTCCATCTCCTGGATGCTTACGGTTAGCAATACGGTCGGAGTCGTCGCTGGACGAGTCGGAGTCGAAGTCGTCGTTGCCTGTGCTTTTCTGCCTGCGCGAGGAATGGGATGGATCGGATGTGCGCATCGGGGCTATGGATTCGTAGACATCGGGAGCTGAGGTATCGACGTCGGGAAGACTGGCGTATTTAGTGTAGCTCGAGGAGCCAGCTAAGGCATCTGTGGAGGCGCTTGCTTGTTGTGACATTGTTGCGATGCCCAAAAGGTGATGAAGATATGAAGGTGAGGCTATGTGAGACGTTGGTGGTGGGAAGGAAAGAGCGTCGAGATTTTTCCAAGGACGAGACCAACACGCAAGCAACACCCTAATTTTACTGCCAAATGGAAGAGCAATACACGCCAGAAGCAGGCACCACTTCCACAACTCGAATTCGCGATTCACCTGCGCCGCACACACAAACCAGCATCAATGGTGTAGTCCATTCTGACATTGCGACACTACCATCGTGTAGCAAAAGGATGCGTTTACATTCAGACCAAGGCAAGAGCCTGTGTCTAGTTCTGAAGCTTGGCAAAAGTGCGATCCATAGTAGTCTTGATCTCGGCATAGACCTCATCAACGCTCTTGATCGAGTCAACTTCGACCACGCGGTCCTGCTTGCGGTAGTATTCGACCACAGGCATCGAGGTGTCGACAAAAGTCTCTGTAGCACCGTCATGAAAGCAAAGTGCCATACAATTGAGTGAGTAAATGCTTGCACAAAGTCACTTTTCACAGCAAGTTGAGCTGGAGTACTTACGGAACCTCTTCTTAATAGACTCGATATTGTCGTCGGCCCTACCGCTCGTCTTACCCCTCTCCAAGAGCCTCTCCAACATCACCCCCTCACTGCACTGCAAGAAGAGCACAAATTGACTAGGGCAGACTGACTCATCAAACATGATAGCTTGGTCCATCTTACGAGGGAATCCATCGACCAAGAACCGACCCTTACCCTCCGTCCATTTGTCCTTGTGCTGTTCCGGAACAGAGTGTTCAGCATCGGTAGCGCCCTGTTTGGAGAGAGCTTCAGCGATAGCGTTGGAGAGAAGAGCAACGGTGACTTCCATCGGGACGATCTTTCCCTCCTTGATGTAGTCGGCGATCATAGCACCGTATTCTGAGCCGGGACGCTGTTGTTCAGCACGCAGAAGGTCACCAGCGGAGAGGTGGACGAAGCCGTAGTCTTGGACTAGACGAGCACATTGTGTTCCCTTGCCGGCTCCAGGACCACCGAGGACGAAGACGACGGTGACCTTGGATGAGTCAAATCGGGGGTTGTCTTTGGTGTCTGTAGCCGGGGCAGTGGCAGCGGGTGCAGCAGCGGCAGCGGGAGGAGCAACAGCAGCAGTCTCGATAGCAGGAGTTGGGGCCAGATCAGCACCACCATTGGGGGAAGCAGCCTTCTCCTCCCCCTTCTTGCGCTTTAGCTTATCGAACAGACCCATCCTGCCTAATAAAGTGTTTGACCTGTTAATCTTGGGCTACGTGTGCCGTATGCGACGGTGTCTCTCCAGGCTTCCTTTCTGAGAAGCGCAGGTCGAAATCTTAGTAGAGTGCTCTGTGTTCTATGCGAGCGATGGAATGAAAGTCGAAGCTGTACGCCTCTGTTCTTATCTACTGAGGTTCCTGAGAGCGAGGTGGGATGAGCGGGTTAGGGTGAGGAATGCGTTTCTCACGGAGATGCTTTTGCGGATCTTCGTGGCGCAAGCGAGAGATGTAGGCGAATGCGCCAAAAGCAGCAAGTGCGATGACAGCGAATCCGACGGGACTGGGGTGGTTCTTCTTCGGTCCGGATGGGGTCGAGTAGGCCCGAGCGTGGGATGGGATGGTGGAGGAGGTGGTAAGACGGTCAAAGCGTGCGAGACCGAGAGTCTTGGCCGAGTTGCTTCGAAGCATTCGTCAGCAGGGGTGGTGCGAGTTGCAGGAGAGCAATGCAAAGGTGGGATTGATAAGGCAGTTAGTTATGGTGGAAGGTGGAAGGTGCGGATGCATAGATTCAGGAGCATCATACAGACACAGACAGACGCACAATCACAATCCAGAATTCCATGCCGAAGAAAACGATCCGACATGATGATACATGCTGACATAAACACAATCGGCGATCAGATGGGACGGATCAGTCTGGAGATCGGGTGCAACATAGTCCCACTCGTTGCGATGCTATATCATGAAGGAGGATACTCCCACGTTCGGCACGCATCTCACAATTGTATATATATCAAACTGGGGACACTAGGTCCTCACCATGTTCGTCAGTCAATTGAGTATATTTGTTTCTGTCTATAACAGCAGTGACATCGTACTTAGACTCTCCCCGATCGCCAGTATCGGGACCGAAACGACTTCAGTTTCTAACAAAAGATAGCCGCCTATTTTTGTGACTTCTCAAAGAGCCCATGCCGCTCCTTCTGCGTTGATATCAGTATCAAGGCAGAAGGAGCGCAGCCCGCATTGTTACCATCCCTCGGATCCTCTATTCCGCTGTGGCTGTGTACTTGAGCTAACTTTATTGTGGACATGGATGGGTCTAAGCTGGAAGCTTCGAAAGTAGGATGTTGCAGATCCGAGTGAAAGGCAGCTTCGTCTGGCTCCCGTACGAGAGAAGCAGGGCATCCCTCAACTTTCCTTGTTGCACACCCTTACAGCCTCGAACAAGCTACGAAGGAGCGAGGCGAGATGCCTCGCTTACCACTCGATTTCCCCAAGTACAAGTACAATGCAGTCTAGTAGGATCTGGCACAGAAATAGAGTGTAGTGACATCGTGGAGAGATTTTAGGCACTAGCGGCTTGTCTTCGTGAAGCATTCTCAGCAACAAAAGCCTCGACAGCAGCCCTTGGATCATCGGGGAACCGAATAAAGAGACCCTGCAACTCAGCCATGCTGACACCTCCCAAAGCGGCTGGTGCTGGACGAATGACCCTCTGCGTCGTACTTGGCGCACCAGACGCACTTCCTTCCATCTCCCTTTTCTCGTAGTCAGGCTGTCTTCCATCAGGTCCAAGACCCAACGCAGCCCTCCTGGCCACAGCTTCCTCCTCCACCCTCCTTCCGAAATCTTCGGCGAGCTTATCAACTTCCTGATCCGCCTCCTCCACAGCCTCTCTCAAACCGGGAACGGCTTCAAACGTCTTATACGCATCCCCTGTGGCCGCTGCATCGATCCCACCGGTCGCCGCTGCAGCAAGAAGCGGTTTCGCCGCCTCCACAGCGCTGGTTGGAATATCGGCTTGTTTGATCTTCACCTCCCGCATCGTCGTACGGTAGAATCGAACCATAAGCTCCTCCACTTGTTCTCTCTCTGCATCTCCTAGTTCAGCGATCATATCCACTCTTCCAGGTCGAATTAGCGCCCGGTCTAGCTTCTCGATATGGTTCGTGGTCATGAAGATAATCCTGCTTTCGCCACTTGCTACACCATCCAGTGCGTTGAGTAAGCCAGAGAAGGTGACCGAGGCTTGATATCCTTCCTCTGCAGTCTGTTGTCGACCGAGGAATGCTGCATCGACGTCTTCCAGCAGCAAAATAGATCGATCGGGTGCGTTGGAGAGGAGATGGTTGAGCTTGTCATCTGTCAATCCACGTTCTGAGAGGTTGAGAAGGCAGATGTTGAAATCGAGATGTCCGGCTAGTGCAGTGATGAAAGAAGACTTGCCACTTCCTGGCGCACCATGTAGCAAATAACCTCGTCGATAGGGAATACCTCGTTCAGCATACCATCGATCACGAGAGAGGAACCGCTTGACGTCGCCAACGATGGCCTCTTTTTTGCCTTTACCGAGGACTACACTTCCCAGTTCTCGAGTTCTGCGCGGCTGTCCGAATGGTCGCCACTCCGGACCCCAGCTGGTGTATATCACTGTCTTGCCTTCAGTCGATGCGAGTGCCAGCTGCCGTGCTTCATCGAGTAGTTGTGGGAAGAGATGAGCGTAGGCGAAAAGTGTCGTGAGAGTAACCGTCTCCCACGGTGCTCCGGTGGAGAGATCGACCATCTTTCCATCTCGTTCTCGTGTCAGACGCATCCATACACCGCCATACCGGAACCAATGTGTTCCTGGACCAGGGACGAGCGAGAACCGCGCTGAACCTCTTTCTGCCGCTTGAGCATTCGGTGTGGAGGCAGATGCGTGAGGGGTATAGTTTGTCTCTACCGAAAGCTCGTGGCTGAGAATGCGGACTGGTGAGACCGAAGAGCCGCTGGATGCAATAACGAGGGGATCATCTGCTTTCTCTTCCTTCGCAGGCAAGTTTCGCTGCTCACCCGAGCGGTCTCGTAACCCGAGAAAATCGACGAGGCCCTCTTTCTTCTGCTTGCCTAGCAATCCTCTTTGCCGCATCGACTGGGCTCTTGCCTGTGCTGCCATCCAGTGCAGGAACCATGGATGCGCTCGGTCCTTTGATGGAATTTCAAGCGATATCAACAGCCTTCGTTGTGCTGTTGACGCTGCTACTTTGACCCCTCTGCGTAAAGCTGCGATGGCTCCTCCGAACACCATGAGACCAAGACCGCCGGAGAAGATGGGATTGTCGGCGATCATATTGGATAGGAACGATCCGGAGCCGGCATCGCTTCCATTGGCTGGATTTGATATTGCACCTCTGCCTGGCTGCGGCAGTGTCGAGCCAGAGGCGCTCTCTGCGCCGTCGATCGGCTGTGACAATGAAGGTGCAGCTTCATCGTGGCTAGAGGAAGAAGCGAAGCGAGCATCCTCTTGAGAGGGCCCAGTCGCCTCCTTCTTCATCGACCGAAAGTTGAACATGTTGTAGGGGCTGATGTGGCCCCTTGTCTGTCATTGGTGCAACCTTGGAAGTGATGATATGATCAAAGTTGGTTCATCGAAGAACTCGAATGGGGTGCGAGTCCGAAACTTTTTTATGCGCTCGGAACTCGGCCATTAGTTGAAGATTACAGGTAAAACGCGACTGTTAGGAGCTACTAGCAAGCTCAACTGATCAGGCATATAACAGTTATTATTATTTTAATTGATGGGTGCTACAATGTGAACATATATATACTTGATTGTTACCCTTAGCCCATACTAGATCATAATGAACTATTCTTCATATCACCCCTGTGTTGTCACCTCCTGAGCATTGCCATCTCCTGAGTGTTATGGTTGAAGTACTTATATATCCCACATGCATATTGATGCATGTTGACATGCAGCTCTGACTCACTGGTGTCTCGCTTGTGCTCTGCAGACCATGTGATTCATGTTAGCATGCCAACACATCTTCAACTCCCCCCCCCTCGACAGCATCATCAACCCTATTAGGCATGCAATCTGAGATGTGGCCAAGCCCTTTAAAGGCTTTGTGAGGATATCTGCAACATTGTCTGTTGTCCCAATGAAATCGATTTTGACTTCTCCTTCCTGAACATGGTCTCTGACAAAGTGGTACCTTGTGTCAATGTGCTTCAACTTCCAATGCTTGACAGGGTCCTTGCTTACCTGGATACATCCTTGACTGTTTGTCCATGATATCAGTGGATGGGCCTCAACTCCCAGGTCCCTGAGAAGGTATGAGAAGAAGAGAGCCTCTCTCGTTGCCTCTGAGGCAGCTACAAATTCAGCCTCAACTGCTGACAATGCCACACACTTTTGAACATGTGACCTCCAGCTAACTGGGCATCCATACATGTATGTTACTCCACCTGATGTGCTTCTTCGTCCATTCATTGGGTGTGATGCCCAATTTGCATCAGTATACATAATGATTTGCTGTCCCAAGTGTTTGTTCACTCCATCTCCGAAAAGTAACTTATATTTGCTAGTTTGGTTTAGGTACATCACCAAATGTAATGCTGCCTTCCATGCATTGCTTGTTGGGCTCAACATGTATCTTGCTAGTGTTCCTATGGTGAATGATATGTCAGGCTGTGCTGTGTTGGATACCCATAAAAGCTGTCCAACTAATTCTTGGTACTGTTTTGCTACCAATGGGTTGCACTTGTTGCCACCTGTAACACCCATTAGGCTCTGCATCGGTACCCATGACTTCAGATCAGTTGTTTGTAGCCACTTTCTCACCATAGCCTTAATGTAAGCCATTAAGTCAAGTGTCATTCTTCTCCATATCCTGTCTTGACCTATCCTTATGCCTAAGAACTCCTTCACAGGTCCTTTATCCTCTGTCCCCCATTTTGCCATTATCTCATCCTTTGTGCAGCTTACCTCCATACGACTGGGTGACGTTATAAGCATGTTGTCATGGGCCTGAATGCTCAGGAAGCAGGAGGGTCACTGGTTCATATGGAAGGAGCACAGGTATCAGAGATCTAGTCAATACCAGTAGAGAGCATGGTCATAGTGCAGTCTCCATGGAGACCATGGACTCCTATGGACTCACATGCAAAGGAGCACTGAGCCATATGCAAGGAGGGCCAGGCACAGCCACAAGGAGGACCAAGCTCAAGGAGCAGGCACAGCCACAAAGAGGACCAAGCTCAAGGAGCATGCAGATGGTTACCACTCAGGGGCTCAAGAGACAAGAGTCAAAGGAACTGTCACTGGTCAAAGGAGAAGGAGCAGTGTATAGGGAACCGGCAAGCAGGTCCTGAGGAGGAGTGTCAGCAGTCGCGCACCTGAAACCTGAGATCAGTAGTAGTATCAGTACTACCACCGATTCTGTCGAGTTATGCAACAGCACTAGTGGTATTACGATTCCTAGTGAAATATGTGACAGAACTGTCTCTGCTGCTTTTCTCGTTGGAATCCATAGTTGTATTGATGTTATGACAGATTTCGACTGACCACTGTGGACACTCCATCCAGAGGTAGCTCAGCACGATCAAACTATGATATGACTCTAAGTGAACTTGATGTTGACACCAATGGTCTGGTGTGAGTATGGATTGATGACATCGACACGAGTGTCCAGTGTGTTGACTAACGCTTGAAGAGATCCCTGGACTGCAGTGGATGACTGCCTTCGGTTCTATTGATATCCGGACTGCTGGTTTGCTAGAACCACCTTTGGATGTCAGGAAATGGTGATACCACACATGCGCTTCGATGAGGAGCAATCTGTTGATTACTACTATGCTGACTGTGAACTAATGATACTTATTGCTTTGAAGTAATACTAGTTTGTTTGATGAGTAGAGTGGATGAGAATCCACTCGACCATTAGTGACGATAAGGTGTGGCTTTTATACCTCTTCGCAGTGTCGCCCGCATCACTGCTTCTGCTCTCTCTCCAGAGAGTACCTTCTGCATCGAGTACCTCACAGGAGTCTCCAATGAGGCTCCTCCTCCTCATTGCACCGTCCATCTGTCTTTCCTGAGCTGTGCCAACTCCATCAACACTGCTCCTCCTCTTTATGTCTTTCTCGCTGGTTTCTCTTACACTGCTCTCCTCCCTTGGACTGGCAATGGACCCCCTTTATTCCTATCTTGTGTGCCCCTGAGTGGTAACCAGCTGCATGCTCCTGAGCTAGGTCCCCTCTTGGCAGCACTTGGTCCCACTACTTGCATGTGAAGCTTCGCCACACTATCATCCTTACCACTGATCTCCACAGAATCTGTGATAGGATCTTTCCTACTACTGGTCCTGGCGGAATCCACCATACCCTTTCTTCTATCACCGATCTCGGTGTGATCCATAGTACCATCCTCTCTCGTGCCAATCTTGTCATCATAGTACTATCCTTCCTTTTGCTGATCTCAGTGAGATCTGTCATAGGACTGGCACTACTACTGATCTCAGTGAAGTCCATCTCAAATCCCATGATCCACCCAATCCCTTGATCCCTGCGCTCCCTTCATATGAATTTGACGGATCTTCTGGCCTCTGCGCATCCATTCCCATGACAAGGAGGAGCAGTGTCGAAGGAGTCGACACAGCTCAAGAGGCACAGGGGTGCCAAGCAAGCAGGAGAGGCCCTCTGAACAGTACTCGATGAAGAAGGTACTCTCTGGAGAGAGAGAGCAGGAGCAGTGTCGCTGGCGATGCTGTGAAGAGGTATATAACCATACTTTCTCATCATCAAAGGTCGAGTGGATCCTCATCCACTCTACACACATCATAACTAGGTATCACTTCAGCATAAGTATATATTAGTTTCAGTCAGCATAGTAGCAATCTATCAAGGTTGCTCCTCATTGTAGTGCATGTGTTGTATCACCACTACCTGACATCCGAAGGCAGTTCATAGCAAACCAGTGGTCCAGATATAGATAGAACCAAAGGCAGTAGTCCACTGTGGTCCGGGGATCACTTCAAGCATCAAGTCAACACACTGGACACTCGTGTTGATGTCACCAACCTTATCACCAAACACCATCAACCTCATTACCAACAACACTCACCAACCTTATCACCGACACCATCAACCTCATCATTATCAACACTCACACCAGACCTTGGTGTTGTCACGGGCCTAAGCTGCGCAGAGCGAGGGAAGGCCGAAATGATATGAAGGTAGTGCAGGAATCGTGGAATTGGGTAGATCGTAGGAGCTGCGACAGAGTTCACTGAGATCGGCAGTAGAATCAGCTCTATGGCAGATCGCAGCGAAATCGGCACAAGCATCATCGATATCACGAATCCCACCAGAATCTGCAGCAAGCGAGATCATGTGGCAGATTCCACAGAGATCGGTAGTAAGGATGTCCATATGACGATTCACATGCAAGAGGGACTGAGCTCAGTGACACGCAGTCGGTTACCACTCAGGGGCCCACAGGACAGGAGTAAAAGAGAACTGTTGCTGGTCAAAGGAAGGAGAGCTGTGTAAAGGACACCAGTGAAAGGAACCTGCAGAGGAGGAGCAGTGTCGATGAAGATGACACAGCTCACGAAAGACAGGAGGGACAAGGCGTGATATGGAGGAGGGGCCTCCTTGGGGATCCCTGTACCATACTCAACGAAGAGGGTACTCTCTGGAGAGAGAGAGAGCAGGAGCAGTGTCGCTGGCGACGCTGCGAAGAGATATATAGTCATACCTTCTTGTCACAAATGGTTGAGTGGATCCTCATCCACTCTACTCACCATACAACTAGTCAATACTTTAGAAACATAAGTACTCATTAGTTTTCAGTCAGCATAAGTTGCAATCAATAGATTGCTCCTCATCGAAGTGCATGTGTTGTATCACCGTTTCCTGACATCCGAAGGCGGTTCTAGCAAACCAGCAGTCCGGATATCGATAGAACCAAAGGCAGTCGTCCACTGCAGTCCAGGGATCACTTCAAGCATTAGTTGACACACTGGACACTCATGTCAGCATCATCAATCCATACTCACACCAGACCATTGGTGTCAACATCAAGTTCACTTAGAGTCATATTGTAGTTTGATCATGCTGAGCTACCTCTGGATGGAGTGTCCACAGTGGTCAGTCGAAATCTGTCATAACATCAATACAACTATGGATTCCAACGAGAAAAGCAGCAGAGATGGTTCTGTCACATATTTCACTAGGAATTGTAATACCATTAGTGCTGTTGCATAACTTGACAGAATCGGTGATAGTACTGATACTACTACTGATCTCAGGTTTCAGGTGTGTGACCCCTGACATTAGAGTGGATCATTCAAGCAGCACCCCATGATCACGATGATGGACCAAGGCCTCAATGATAAGCTCAACCGGCTTCTAGCACTATTGGAAACCCAACTTGAGCTCACCAGGCAAGGCCAACAAGAAGAGCGACTTTGCTGTGCTCACCTAAGTGGAGAAGAGACGATTGAGTTCTCGCAATCAGAAGATCAAGCAGGAGGAGATGAATCCATGCTAGGAGACCCTCAGACTCCT